TGCTTTAATCCCAGAAGATTCTGTTGTTTGGAAAACACTAGAATGAATTCAAATAACGATCTTTAAATTATAACTTGTGAGAAATAAACGACCTGTTTTTACTTATGGCAACTACAGGGTCAGCCACAGAGGGGAAATCGACCTATGCCTCGGCATCATTTTGGTAAAAACTGTTTTGAGTTGTTTTTGATAATATTTGTCCAGCAGGATATTGGCGGGGTAAACCGCAGTTGGCGTGGTTCATTACTCACAAATAGAGGCTGTTCAGAAAGCCATGTTTGGCAAGTTCACAGTTGATCTAATATTTGGGATTAATGACAGCTGTCTGATCTGATTTTGTAATCATTATTGGAAGAAAAATTGACGTTCATTGTTCTATTAGTCTTTTAGCCTTTTTAGCGGATTCAAAATATATATAAAATAAAATGATTAAAAACTTTTATTTTTTAAGAGAAATTTAAAATTTCCTGTTGTTTAAGTAGTTAAAAACGAAACGAAAAAGACTTTAAATACCAGTCACCCGTGCATTTATACCCACTACTCAGAGGGTTTTTCTGTATTTCTTGCCAAATACACATCATCAAACGTACATGCAAGGATCGCTTTCACAGACATTTGTTGAGAGGAAATACGAGAACGAGTTAAACTTAATATTTATTCGGTAAGACAGAGCAATTGTCGATTTCTGGCTACTGTAACATATGACATCACAATATCTAAATTACATGGTTCGCGCAACCTTAACGAACATAAGCGTTACTAATACCATATATACAATATTTCTAATACAATAGATTATTAAAAAAAAAAAAAAAAAAAAAAAAAAACGCGTTCCCGCACAGATCAGCGGTCATTTGACCACAGATTCTATCGAGCTGCTTTCACTCTGGTCAAGCGAGTACTTGATCACGTTGCCGGACATACGCCGGGCAATAAGAAGAGCCCAGTGGGTATTTATAGGAGTGGCCTACGTAGACGTGATATCCCATAGAGCGTGCTGACACTCCAACGATCTGACACTGACAACTACATCAATCTTAATTTAAACTGAAACAATGCCACATTTTTAGAATACAAATTATCACCGTTTAATTGCCATACCGATTAATGTTTATTATTTTATAACTGGTGTCGGATTTTTTTCGCGTGCGTGACAATGCACAACTCCACACTTAATTCAAATTATGACCAAACGACACGCAATGTAAATAAATAAATAATAAAAAAATGGAGGTAAGGGAAATTTTAAAAAATAAATAAATAAATAAATCGTTCCCAGCATTTCTGGGACAATAACATACTAGTTAAAGATACATACAAAGTCAATTTTTTGTCACAAAAACCAACAAAATGCCAGCATATAGTTTCAAGTAGTATAACTAAGAGAATTACCAAAAGGCATTGTTTAATTTTACCCCAAAATGATGTTTGAACGAATTTTTCTGCTGGCATTCTAAGCTGTATGTCAATCGGGCAGGAAAGTAGGTCACGAATGTAGGTTAAACTTACAACCATAAATTTAAAGAAAGGAGCAGTCTAAAGGTATTTTATGACTGATCGAGTGATCTATTCAGTTTATCCCTTGGCATGTCCAATTTATTTGAGTCATATAAGAATCTAGTAGAAGTGGTTTACATGTGTTACTGGGAATCCACGCTCCACCGATGCTCGGTTCGTATGTACCTTTAAACAAACAAAAATACAACATCCAGTACAATATTTATTTATCATACTCTGACTGGTTGTATAATAAATATCTAAATACATATAGGTGTACGATAAAGACTAGCGTTCGGCTTAAAAATGAAGACCCATTAATGGCAATATATTAATATCATATCTTCTATGATACGATACGGTGTTGCGGTACAGCGTAATGGTATATCAGTACCTGATACCAATGTAAACTCTGATTGAAAAATGTTCCACTTACAATATTAACTAAATTTTTTATTAACTTGTATTAATATTCATCATCAAACACAACAGTCACATTATAATTTCAGTCCAATTTAAAAAGAAATTCCAAATATCAAATTATATACATTATTTAAATGTAACTATAGTACAGGCCTTCCCAACTACCAGACTCGGCACCTACGGGTCCAGAATAAACCGGTATATCTGACCACACTACCCGTTTTCAAGGTGTGTGTCAGATCGCATAAAAGAGTATCATACCCTATCACAAATTCTGTAAGCCTACCTGTCATCCGGGTATCGCGCCTCGTTTTCGTCAAGTAGGAGTCGTATGAATACAACAGACGACTCCCTCAATCAGGGGGTGGAAACGCGCTACTTATATGATTAAGACGAGCCTAGCCGTCAGTACCGGTTATTGTTTTGTGACCTTGAGGAGCAATTAGGTTTGGTCGTTGCGGCACGCATCAACAGTAGTTGAACTACCACACCTGGGTCTTTTGTTTTTGACAACTGTTCACTCGTCATCGAGGCGCTTGTTCAAGACTACAGGCTGATATCTACTAGTACTACCAGTGGCTTCATTAGTAACGTTCCCACAATACTTAAGTTTTCTGTCCGTGCGTACAAACCCTGAAAAAGGACAGCCTCGCTGACGAGAACAATGGACGTTTCTCACCCCTCTCTAGGATTACCCCTGCCCTCAATCTCGTCCATCCCGGTAGTCACGAAAATATTTAACCCCCGACAGAATATGCTTCTGCTATCAAAATTAGGTCTACTTTTCTAAATTAATATATAAGTTTGCAAGTTCTTATTTACAAAACATCATTGGCTATGTCCGAACCTAAATTTTATGTTAAAAATTGCGGTACTGTCAGATTTTAGCATAAACAGAGAAAATTGCAGCAGCGCATGAATCTAGATGAGATGCACTACTTTCCAACCCCGCTTAGGATCATTGCTATCACATCGCGCACCAGGCAAAATCAGTGTGGTGGCTGATACTCTGTAATGCGATCTGACACACACCTTGAAAACGGGTAGTGTGGTCTGATAAACCGGTTTATACTGGACCCGTAGGTGCCGAGTCTGGTAGTTGGGAAGGCCTGTAGTAGAAAGAGTGAAGCTAATTGTTCGGGAACTTGGCATTCATGATACCGCTACAGTGGAAAAAAAAAAGAAATTGTATCAACATAAAACTTATAAGATTTGGCAAGTTAATATGGCCGTCTCACATATGCTATTGTTCTACACGTCGTCACATGGTATTGACCTTTGGGACTCTTAAAGCCACAGTCTTGTTCTCATCAGTTTTAACTTAATACAATTCTAGGTTTTACTTCAGGAAGCAGAAGCTAAGAGTAATTGGCACAAACAGCGGTGATAAGATTTATTGCGGAATTAAATAACGGGGGTTGTATTTCAATGACCACGGGCTATATCTGTTTAAACTGGAACTGATGAGAGCACAGCATTATTAAATTGGGGACGGTGCCACCTACTAACCACCACCAGACATGGGGGGGGGGGGAGGGGGGGTCTGTAGTTCCCACCTTTAATAACGTCATCAATATCGTGCGTCAATGATCAAGGATATGGTTCATGTTCCACAGCTTTCATAACTTTTGGTGGTGAGCAACAGTTTAAATACTTTGAAACAAACAAACATTATTCAATGATGTTACACCGTCACATCTACCACATTACCCAACAAATAAGTTTCTCAACCAACACAATGTCCCGTCCTTCAATAATGCTTTCAAGCACAACCATCACACCTAACATAATTTGATACTTACAAAGCAGGAGAATTGAATCCCACACTGGACACTTACAGAGTACTAATGGTAGAAGGCCCACAGACTTCATCGTACCACTGATGTTATCTGGCAATCAGCAGAGAATGTCCAACAGAACCAATCACATACCCTATATCATACCATCTGTATATGACTGTCCAAAATGTGTTTCAGTTTTCATTCTCCATTTATAAACAACAACTGTTTGAATCAAAATACACACTGATAAGAATTCCATAATGCTAGTTTACCTTTCAACAGCCATATCCAGTGACAAATTTCTATATATTTAGATATAATTTTTCTTAAAAATCATTTTCAAGAAATTAATCTTATCAGTAACATTCAAAATACAAAAACTACAATGATAGCACCAGTGCTATGGCATAATGTGTACCCTAATTGTTGTAAACCTAAGACAATTGGAGTACAAGTTCACTAATATATATACTAATCCATAATATTATAAGTCTGACTATAAGTCTGTGTAGCTCTTCAGCACATAATGATACAAAATTCAGACCCACTAACAATTTAAGATTGTACTTTCAACAAATGTACTATTCACTTTATTAAAAAAGAGAAAGCCTCACCAGTGAAGATGAATTTCAATTCAATAATCACATTTACCATTTTCTCTTGCAGGTCCTCAAAAATGGCTACATAAAATACTCAACAGTATAATATATAATCTAACACAATAAATCTTGGCAAATATTGGTGTTCTAATATCATCAAGCAACTTCCTTATACCTATGGTGTTCTTAATAAAAACCATGTACACACACATGTATATGTTACATAAAGAATAACAACCAGCACCCTTATTCTCATTTCCCAAATTCCACTGAGACCACCAATTCTCAGAGCCTTGATAAAGATACCTGTTTTTTGCTGCCTCCCTGTCCCTAAAATAGCATTCCAAATTCTTCATTAGGATCCCTCAACCTACATTAGGTTAATCACTGGGATTCCCAACCTGCATAAGGATCACTGACCCTTACTGAGCACCTCTGAACCTCCATAAGGATGTGACACCCTTCACTAGAATAACTATTCTTCATCAGGACCCATGACCCTCAGCGCAACTGACTGATCTTTTCTTAAGAACATGGATCTCCCCGCTTAGTTCTCTGCCCTACATAAGGTTCATTGAGTGCATTCAGAACTGCAGACTAACATATCCGGGGATCAAATATGGCCGACCCACTTGAATGCTTGTTGCGTAATCCCTGCAAGGAATCTATTCAGTGTCTAATCGGGAATGAAGCGGCAAGCTTTTTAGTGGGACGCCATATTTAATCCGTGGATCTGTTAGTCCGCTGTTATGATTGCATTCATAGGTGCTAAATTAGGATAACTGAACCTCTATCAGGATGGCTGACACTCTGTTAGGATAACTGAACCTTTATCAGGATGGCTGACACTCTGTTAGGATAACTGAACCTTTATCAGGATGGCTGACACTCTGTTAGGATAACTGAACCTTTATCAGGATGGCTGATACTCTGTTAGGATAACTGAACCTCTATCAGGATGCTTGACCCTCTGTTAGGATAACTGAACCTTTATCAGGATGGCTGACACTCTGTTAGGATAAATGCTCCTTTACCAGGATCCCTGATCCTTCTGACCAACCTTTCAGATCTAGGCCCTTACATTAGGATCCCAGGTTTAATGCTGTCCTATACTTCAGCAGGATTTTGATTTTGATTCCTAGACTAATAAAAGCATAGCCAAATGCTGGACTGGTTTTTTTGTGAAATTTTTCTTCTAAACCAAATCCATTGCAAATATGGCTGGAAATCCCCTTTTAAAGCATTATGAGGCTGTCATGTCTTTAAGCTATGAGAAAATGAGAAATGAATCTTTAACTACCAGCAGCACTTATTCTAGTAATTATCTCCTCTCCATTTTTGAACATAACTGGTGTAGAGACTATGCAGTTATCCAATGCTATCTTAAACTGAAATCACAGTGATACAGAACTGTCACTGCCGTTCCACCCCACCTTCCCTCCCCCAATGTCCGTCTCTAAGACTGCGTTCAGATTCAAATATCGTACCAGCTAGATCGATCCAACTCTGCAGGGGATTCTTGTTAAACTGCATTCAGTATAATCAGCTTAATTGTCAGACATGCTTCCTTGAGGAGCTATGGTATAATTGACTTTTATGTGTGCTAAGCTTAATTAACCTTAGCAGCTCGAGGAGGCACGTCAGAGATTTAAGCCAACGACAGTGACTGCACTTAGAGAGAACCTCCTGCAGAGTTGGATTAATCCAGCTAGTAAGATTGGTTTATCTCTACGCTCCCTAAGAAGACAAACCTTTATGAGTTATAGAGCAATTTATGCCAATCCACCTGAAGACTTCTGGCTCCATATGCCAGGTGACTAGGCTGTGGACTGGCCCCAGTGACTGTGTGACTCAACATGTCTGTGAGAGACTGGCACTCGGGCCCATCTTGGAGAGCAGATGGCGCTGGCGAGGAGTCGTTCCTAGACACGGCATTCTGGAAGTGTGCACTCCAGTCACTGGGCTGAGTTACTCTTAATCGCAAATTTGCCGCGGGAGAGATGGTCTGCTGGGTAGGGGTGGACTGCTGTGCACCCGACACCTGGGGTGCAGGTTGAGTAGAATGCTGGGAGGAGCGCAGTCCTGTAGATGGCATCGTAGTCTGGAGCAAGTTGGCCTCAAGATTAGCCTTCAAGCCTGTCTTCTTCACCATCCTTGTGTCAACGTATTTATCGAAGTTATGGGACTGCACCACTTCAGAGTGCTTCTTTTCCACATGCTGGCGCAGGTTGCGCATGAAGTTGCACTCGTAGTCGCATTCCTTGCACTTGTACATCTTATCTTGACAATGTTTCCGCTTGTGTTTGCGCAGCGTGGCCGAGTCCGCTGCTGCGTAGTCGCACAGGTCACATTTAAACGGTCGTAGACCATAGTGGGCATTCTTGTGGCTTTCCAGCAGGTAAGGTCTGTCCGTCTTGTAACCACACAACTCGCACATGAGGTTACGCTCAGCACGTTTTGGCACGTAGCCTTCAGTGTGCTGGGTTAGCATGTGCTTCTTAAAACCACATCTTCTCCTGGAGTGGATAAAAACAAAAATAGCTTGTCTAAGAATGGGTTTGATGAGGCAGGGTGATGTAGAGTGAGGTGTGGTAATGTAATGACATATTGCAACTGGTTCAAGTAGACAGCGCAGAAAGCTGGGCTTTATTTCTCAAACCAACATTATCCCAAACATTGGTTTAACCTTTTCAACCACAATTTTACTCTGCTTTGACTCAATCTGTCCAGGAAGTAGTTTAACATTTTAAAAATGAAAATTCTTGCCTCTTTATAACAAGATTAGCATGGCTTATGTGTGAGACCTATACTACATTTAAGTTAACTGGCTACTTTGGATTAATCTTGAACTAACAATTAGATATGTGAACTGATGATGAAGAAACCTGTACTTACTTAAACCCATTCCCACATATATGGCAGAAGTAGACCATCTGAGTGCTATGTTTTACCATGTGATCTCTCAGAGCAGCAGGACAGCTACAGGGCTTCTTACAGATACTACAGTTGTACTGTAATACATAGAAAGATAACAGCATCAATAGTTATCATTTCCTATGCTTTTAGTGGGCCCATAAACACTATGATACAGAAAATGTCTAATGGATTACATACCAGATTATGTGAGAAATGATTATAAAGAGCACAATGATGTAAATGAAGACAAACACTTAATGATGTAAAAAGATGCATCATGATTATCGCAACTAACACAATGTGACTTCTACATCTCACACATTATTGCTGTCACACCTAACACAATGTGACTGTCACAACCCACTCACCTCTGCCACCAGCAGCCCAGGGTGGTGCTGTACAATGTGGCCCCTCATGGACCCCCACTCCTGTTTCTTTGGCATGAACTCACACTTCAGGCACTTCAAGGCCTTGGTGTCGTTCAGGTGGCAGTTCATGTGGACGTCCAGCTCAGACTTGTGGACACTGAATGACCGGCACCCTGGGATGGGGCACTTGGCAGAATCTGGAAGTGGACATTTAGATTTCTGCCTTTGATCGTGGACAAGGTATTTGAACAGTGAATAATCTACATCATAAATATCATTTCTGAATCAGTAGTATTTTTAATTAGATTAAGGCTTCACATATTTGCCTAACAAAACGCAACTCTTTTCAATGTTTTGTTCAGATACTTAAATACAATCCACTCTGTTAAATTGCTGAAAATAACTTTGTTAAAAATTTTACTTAACCTTCAATGCCAATTCATTAAGAAATGTGTCTATAGAAACTGAATGATTTTTAAACATCTATGTATAAGTTCTACATAGTGAAAGTTCAAAACACACTTGGACAAACAACTTTGTAGCTCACCTATGCTAAAGAAGACGTAGCACAATAATCTAGGACAACAAAAGCACTCCCATAACATTTGAAAACATAAACTGGATAAAACTAGCACAGTTGCGACCAGCAATGAAATTACCCATGCTCACCTGTACACTGTATATACAATGTAAACCACAGATATCACACAAATATTTATAAATTATGGTTTTGGGGAGATGCATTACAACCTCCAAGAGTCTTATGTCAAGATTGTTGTACCCCAAGGACACCCTGTATTACCTTCCTTGGGGGTCCTGGCCCTCCTCTTTATCTTTGGTTTTAATGGAGCCAGTTCCTGGGCAGGTTTTGACACTTTGGTGGCTGGCTGGGAAATCATCTTCATGGGTTTACTGGACTTCCTTCTGGAGATCTTGATCTTGATCCCAACTTTTTTCTCTGCTACAAAAAAAAAAAAAAAAAAAAAAAAAAAAAATCAATGGTTATTTGTAAGAGGGGGGAAAAAAGAAAAAAAAACATGAAGTGTGATTTCTTAAAATATATTTGAAAAAGATAATCTGAGAAACAATTCTTTGCTTAACAGTTTGGCACCAGACTGGTGAAAAAAAACAGTTTAACTAAAGAGAGGCTACAGTGAAACTCTCACCATCTTGTTTCTCTGCTCCTTCCTCAACAGCGTCTTCCCTAACTTTGTCTTCTTCCTCAGTCTGAGACAGGCTGAAAAGAAGTAACCACTTGTCACAGAGTTACACATCATTGCAGCATCAGAGCTGACCATGACTTTCATGACAAGTTTAACTTTTAATTATAAGACAACTTTTTTATTACTTATTCTTAAGAAACACACACACACACACACACACACACACACACACACACACACACACACACACACACACACACACACACACCTGCACTCATTCACACACACACACAATCACAGGCGTTGAGCTGGCAGGGGGAGGTGGGGGGGGGGGGGGTAGAGAGGGCAGTTACCTGCTACACCCATACTTCACATCCTGGCTGTCATTGTCTGGGTTGGTGACGGCCAGTGCTTCTGGACTGCCTGAGGAAATAAATATTAAGGAAACTATGTTTGAGCTTGTTATCAATTTTCAACATAGAAATACAAACAGACTGTTATCCTCACAAGAACAGAAGAATTGATTATACTAGAAATCAACAGCAAAAAAGAAAAAAAAAGCCACTGTATAATTTGTCTTGGATATATAAAAAATTAAAGACCTATAAGTTCACTGTTCAAACCAATATGATTTGTTAGTTACTGCTGGCACATAAAAAGGGATTTTTAACTCTTACACTGAATTACATACTGTATTGTTTTTTCACCAAGATTTTCCAATACAGGGTTTTAAAACAGGGTAAACACAAACGCTATTAATTCTATTACAAATGTTATTTCTAAAGTTTTCTATCTGTGAATATTTCCAAAAGGTTCTCTACCTTCACACTTGGCCACATGTTTCAGCATCCCATCTATCTTGACCATTTTCTTGGGGCAGTTGGGACACTTGACCCTCTGGAACAGCTTAAAGCGGTGTTTTCTGTGGACGTGAACCATCATGTAATGCCACTGGGTTGCCTGATTGGAAATAAATCTCAGTATAAAACACTGATGGCAAACTGAGCCACCTGCCAACCATCTTGACACGGTTTTGAGTCACTTGCACCTCCAAAGTCAATGCAAGAATTGAGCTTCAAAGGGAAATTTGAACAAGGCAGCAAAGCTGTCAAATGTACAGACAAAAAACAGGAAATAACAAAATAGGCTACTGTCAATTCTGATGCAAAAGTACATTATGTTAAACTGCAAATTCAACATCAAATTTTAATTATGCTCAACAGGTAATACCAATGTAAGTAAAATGTGAAACGAGCATAAGGCTTCANAACCAATGCTTTAGCATGGGTTAAAGACTTTTCTAAATTTTTCAGGATTGTTACAGGTTAAAGTGATGGCAAGTGTCAGGAAAAAAGATCAAATGTTGGTTATTCCGATAAAAATATTAATTTTCCAGAAAAAATTGGTTAAATGTGAGTTCATTTTACAAAAAAAATCTAAAAATGTGCATCTTGAATGTTATAAAAGAGTCTCTCAAGAAAATTCTGCTACTTCATCAAAAGACCCAGATGCCTTGTCTCAATATATCCCAAAGAAAAGACCAGCTATACCTGGGATTCTTGACTTTTCCCGCTGGGCACATAGTTGCACACAAAGCAAGTGTAAAGTTCCCCCTCTGGATCCATGGAAGTGTGAAACTTGCGATGAAGCTCGCTCTCCTGTTTGGTCTTCAGGTGGACGGCACATCGCGGGTGGGGGCAGTTGTACACCATGGTCACCTGACAAGATGAGCCACTTTAAAATTTCAGTACATTTTCAATTAAATATTGTTGCTGCTTATCAAAAAATTACTCAGTAAATAGGCAGATGGACATAAAAAAGAAATAACACCTTTTCATTTTTACACAAAACTTCAATTTTTAAGCACTTCTTGTGATATTTTAAACTTCTAATAACCCCCTCATTATCATAATTATTTAATATCACTCCTCTTCAGTTATACAGTTTGATAAAGACAAGTTCAGAATACAACAAGTAATTTTGGAGTACTGAGCAATTTTGTTATTTAGGATATGATAACTTACCTGATGCACATACTGCAGATGGGCCGACAAAATCTCCCACCTGGATGCCTTACAAGTCAGATTACCACACACATAGCACCTTAAATCTCGCGGAGCATCGGGACTCACATGACTCTGCATGTGTGCTGCGTGCTCGCTGTCAGACCACAAGTTAACGCCACAGATCTTACATTCTGCGATATCTTCAAAATTAAGATCTGGCATATCAGGAAGTGGAGCACAGGGGGCCTTTTTTCCCTTTTTCTTCTTTTGACCTATGCTCTTCTTTTCATTGTTTTTACTCCCACTATTGTCATTACTGTCACTGGCAACTGTTTCATCATGATTGTCAACGTCATCATTATCATCATCATCATCATCATCATCATCAACATTATCTTTGTTATCTCCGTCATCATTGTCAGCATTATTTTCCAATTTTACACGTTTTGGTGTCATGTATTCAGATACTTCCTTAACTTTTCTCTTCCCCAATTTCTGTTTTTTTGGTCTCTTTACTTTTTCCTTTTTAGGATGCCCTGCCCCTAAACTCTCAGTAGCACAATCAGTCTCTTGTTTCACAGGTGACAGTTCATTACACTGTGGGGCTTCATACTGAGTTGCCGTAGAAACCATTTTGTTACGTTTCCATGGATACAACTGGATATTACACTTTGAGCACCGTACTGGCTTAGCACCACTGCTGCAACTCTGGCATAATGGCGGCCCTGGAGTGGTGTCGCCATCACCACCGCCATTGGGGCTCTCTGGTTGACTAGGCAAATCTGGACTTTCTAAGCCTTCTGACCTGCAACTCAACTGATGGCTGGTCTCCTCATCACACCCGACCCTCGAGCTCTGCATGGAATTTTGAGATTGTTGTAGATTTTCTGAGTTGTGGGTTAATTTATTCATGATACTAGCTATTGCGGTATCTATGGCCATAGACTGCACTTGTGTTGAGAGTTCTTTATCCTGTTTTTCCACTGGTGCAGGCTGTTTCTCATTACTGTTAATAGGTCCTACATTATTTTCAATTTGTCTACTTTGTGGTTCTTTTTCAGCCTCATTACCATTCACATCCTCTGTGGATTGCTGAATATTTGTTTGCCTTGGCGGCTGTGGTGGTGGTGGTGGTGGCGGCGGGGTCGTCTTACGACTGTTGTCATGGTATTGTACTGGAGGTGAGCTGCGTTCATTGTCATGGTAACGCTGGTTGTCATGGTAAACAGGAGGCCTGTCAGTGTGCGTGTCTTTGGGATAACTGTCAAAGTCGTGTCCAGCGCTGTACAGCTTGGCTGCGGCACTCAGTGTGTGAATTCCGCCATAGTTGCCATAGTAACTGCTAGCACCACTTGGCTGGTAGCGTGAACTCACTGGTACAGTAGTATGATGGTATGTGTCCTGTCCAGCCAGAGTACTACCTGGACGGTGGACAGTTGAGATTAGGATTTTATCACTTAGTCTTCAGAACAAGAGGGTCATAAAAATTACTAAGCAACTTGACTTTTGATTTATCACTCCATTATTGTATTCCATTAATTATTCTTAAGGACAAATAAATAAATAAATAAAATAAATAGCATCATATGTTAAATTTAATCTCACCATTTATTCAACTAACTTTTTTTTGGAGCAAAATATTTCACACTTTCTTAGTAGAATAAGAACATGTTTCCCACTTCCCTGGAGCCAGCCTTTTTGAACAAGTTACCTGTGGACCTCTGCGAGGTGTACAGCGGTGCCGTAGTCTCTGTCCCCAGTCCATCACCACTGCTGCTACCTGGTCGATACTGTGACGACACCGCCGCACCACTTATGGTAGCGGAATGTATGTCATACTGTCCCACTGTGGTGTTGGGCGCCATGACACCACCGGCGCCGGGCTGGTAGCGTGAGGAGACACCGGGCCCTGAGCTGGGTGGTGAAGGGGGGCTGTGACTCCTCTGTGCTGCCACTAGGGCCTGGTTGGCCAGCATTCTTAACTGTGCTGTGTCACAGTTCAAGCTGGTGTCATAGTCTCGATATACTGGCCGAGTTCCTCCGCCATGGTGTGGAGGGAGAGATTCCCTTCCCTATTATAACAATAAAAGATAATCAGATTGTTTTAATAAAATATAATATTTCCAATTAATCTAATAAATTTAAATGTGTTACAAAAAATATCTATATCAGAAATCTGTGTTTCCATTTTGAAAAACTCTTGACTTATCTTTCACTATCCAACCATTAGAAACATTCTTTTCTCTGGTGCATACTTCACAGGATATATTTTTTTGTCTTTTGAAAGGACTTAAGGTGAAGCTGTTAATATGTACCTTTATTCATCTTTCAGCTTTCTTTTGTCTTTCTTTCAGCCATTTGAGAAATATTCCTCACTTGAGTGATGTCTTTAAATAATTTCTTCCCTTCTCAAATTAAAATATTATTTTGTGTCCTTGAGGAATATTACCTGATGGTAGTTCTCTAGTGGTTGGGGGTAGGAAAACACGCCAGCAACAGCAGGGTCCATCATGTGCTCTGTCACCAGGTGGTGCTGAAAGCTTTCCCAGTCCGCAGCACTGTACGGGCACCTGCGACAAAGGTACGGTGGGGGACCCAGGTCCATCATGTGCTCCGTCGCCAGATGACGCTGCAAACTCTCCATGTCTGGGGTGCTAAACTGACATCGTCGGCAGTGGTATGGAGGAGGAGCGAGATCTCCACAACCTAGATCCGACATGATGTGGAGTCAATGTATTTAACACCACTTAGCATACCATGTACTGAAACCAGGGATTTTCACTTGGTTTAAATGAGAATGGTAATAACTTCTCCATGAATATCCATATACATGTATGTCCTTTATCCTAAAGAGAAAGCAAATTAAAAGACCATTGCAAGTGAACAATGGCATGGTGATTTGTAGCAGATTACTACATGTAGTACTTGTCATGTGAAACAACTTTACATTTTAATGCAGATATATAAATAGTTATCTTAAGCGCAAACTGAGCGATAATCATTCAAAGATTGCATATTATGAGAAATAAAGACAACAACCATGATCTAATAATTAAATAACCTGCAAAACATGCACCAATATATATATTGTACTTACACAATGTAATGAAGCACTGATATGTGCAAATAGAAACTATGCTTCAAAAATCATACACAATTATGTGATGCCAATTTTTACACATGTCCTATACTTTTGCAAGGGGCCCTCCTATACTTTATCAACTGCATCATGATAACATATTATACTGTACAGCAAATTATGGGCCTTTCATTTAATTTAGTTTGGCAGTCTACAATACGCTTTGAAACCATACGTATATGACACAGACTAACTTGACTTATTTATACCATTGTTTTGCTCACTAGCTGACCCTGCCAAGTCCAGTCTAATCTAAGAGCTTCACGCAAACATTAACTCTGGCTGGCATTGGTAATGAAATATAAGGTTGAAGATATGAATGGAGGCAAAAGAATGAATTCGTTTTTGGATTAAATACACTCTACCGTTAGATGAGCATGCATCTGATATCTTCTTTATATCATACTTCTGCGAAAATGTACCTTACCTGATGTATTCACGCAAATTTTAAACTGTATTTTGCACAATAAATTGACAGTATGCCTCTTCTCTGGAAATAAGCCATTGGTAAAAGGCCACACGCTACGCTTCGATATGAATGTTGTTCAAGACAAGCTATACGATACGTTAAGTGGTGTTTATTTATTTCAGGAGAATTTCAAGCCCACTTTTAATTGATGTTAGCTGATTTAATAACCTGAAATAAATGTATTTCCTCTGAGGACAAAATGAATATTTTTCTATTAAACTGGTCTGATCAATCTACAATCTACAATAGCAACAGAAACGGTCTTAGGAATAATGAAAAGAAAAAATATTTATATATACCGGTATATATTTGAAAATATGGGTGTGAACTTTCAGAAAAAAATTGTCCAAAGGTTTCTAAAATAGTTTTGACAATATATCTAAATATCTACTTGATGTTAAGAGAAGATACATGTAAATGGCTTAAAAATCATATTGGTTACCCAATACACATCGATGCAAGTAATATTTCCAGATTTTGATGCAAAATGGGACATTTCTGTGTATATGTGGTGAAAAATCATATGTAGTGTAAGTTGTGTTAGAGTGTACACGATATACATGTATATAAACACTGCTTTTCTCTATAGGTATTTTATTCATATTTCATGAAATGTTTATCACCATGCACCTTTGCTTAAAAATATTGATGTGTTTGTTAATTGTTTCCTACACATTTTACATGAAGACTAGAAATAGGCCTAGATGTTTACATGAATACAGGTTTAAGTTAGCCCGGCGCATTTGTTACATTTATTTTTAATTTAATATCAAACAAAAATGTGTCAGTTTTACCAGAAATCATCAACATGATAAAAAAAGCAAATGATTATTCAGGACACAGTCTTTTAACATCTTCCATTGTTGTCTTGACTAGTGACCACGTGGTTGAGTAGCGAGGACAACGCCGCACCGCCACCTTCATGCACTGCTTCTGTGCGCATGCGTTTAGAGTGGTGCGAGCGCAGATGTTGATTTCTTTGAAACACATCCTCTCTGAAAAAAAAAAAAAAAAAAACGAATAAAAAGAAGGACAATTAACTACACGTCTCAAACCTGAAAAAAAAAGGCAATTGGTGATCTTGACGGAATCCAAATAACAATTAAGAGATCTGCCTATATGAAGAAAAAAAAACGAAGGTTTACTTTGCTTCTTTGCCTTTTTGTACGCGCATCCCAACATAAAAAAACTTAAATTAAAAGGAGCAGTTTACATATAAGACAGTAACACGTTTAATACCGTGAATATGCAAACATACAACGGACATAGGCCTAAAACTTGGGTCGACTCTCTAATCCGATTCTCAGAAAAAGACACAAAAATGAACCTACGACATCAATTTTCAGTTAAATTCACTTCATCTTCAAAACCTACCCAGAACTTTGCAGGCCTCGCCAAGGTCTCTAACCACTGTCTGCACGTGCTCCCAAATGGCGGAACCAAATGTACATCTTCCCACCACGTGCTCAGCACATGCTGCCTGTTGGCAGGTGAGCTGACTGCTCTTTGTACAGGTGTTTATCTCAGAGATGCAGGTGGAATCTAGGCAAGATAAATAAATTTCCGAGGGTGAATAATAATAGTATTATGCAACAACTTTGTACTCTGCCTAAAAGCAACAATAAAGCAAAACAGAAATAATAAGGAAGTCTATCTTCGTCAGACGAGTGACTTGAAATAATAAACCTGGAGTTCTAATACAGGTTTACTAGATCGTATTTGCTAAACTGTGAATATAAGTTTCTCTCTGCGATTTAGGAAAATCGTTAAAATTAACAGAAAAATTCAGTCATAGCTATATATGTGTGCGTGTGCGTGTGCAAGATATGCAGCAGGGAGGCACCAAATGTCAGATACAGGGATAAAGGAAGCACGCGGAAAGGGAGCATTGTTTTCCAATTTTTCTTTCACTCTGATTGAAAATAACGGTATGATCAAGCAGGTCAATTTTATTCATAATGACCAATAACAAAAGAATTACAATTTTCATCAGGGTGATAAAGAATAAAAGGTATGGTAGGTGTTATGGTACTGTTTGTGAACAGGTTTTTAAACGATTTATTATTATTATTATTACCGTTTAGTGGCATTGCCGTGGCGGCATAATCTACAGTAGGGAACAACCCAAACCTATCCACTCGCACTACAACCATGGCTGAAGTTTTAAGTACACCAGACGTAGCCTCGATGTTGAAATGATACTCATTCTTGATATGGTCTGAGAACAGCCGTGAGCGCGTGACTATCATAGCGCCTGGTTTTCCCGCCGTTTGACGCATGTCAAATTTATCCAAATCTGGGCCGCTTACCATACGGTAAATTACTTCGGCGTTAGATCCGAGATCTGCGTCATAGGCATATATTGTTCCAACAATTTTAGTTTTTGTATCTGAAGTAGGATTCCAGTGTCTAGGTAAAGTGAGGATTAGCAAGACAGGGTTTATAGGGAAAACCGGAGCGTTATCGTTGACGTCAGTGACATGGATTATGACTGATACTGGTGTCGCCCTCTGTGGCTCACCGTGATCAACCGCCAGGGCCACGAGGTAATACAGATCCCGCATTTCCCGGTCTAGATGTCTGGCCACTGTGATTGCCCCAGAGGTCGCGTCAATGGCGAAATCACCGTCACCGTTATAGCCTCCATCGAAGGTGTACTTTATGTGAGAGTTTAAGCCATCATCAATATCTCTGGCAGATAAATGTAAGACTCTCTTCCCTATGAACGCGTTTTCAGGCACGGTGCCTTCGTATCTGATCCTGTCCTTGCCTACCGAGTTATCTGTATCCAACTTGGCAAATGCATTGTACACAAATTCAGGATAATTGTCGTTCATGTCATCTATGATGACATTAAGGTACGCTACTCCAGTCCTTGGCGGAGTGCCGTTATCCACTGCTGTTACACGTAACGTGTACTGCGCCGTGCGCTCCCTGTCAAACGACGTAGTGGCCCAGACCTCGCCGTCGCCTCGCTCGATGATAAACGACGGTGACCCGTCTAGATAGTAGTGTATTTCACCGTTGGATCCTGTGTCGTTGTCCGTAGCGCTCACTTTAAATGTGAAGATGAATGGGTTGGAATTTTCCAGAATGTGAGCTGTGTACGAGTCCTGGGTGAACGCTGGGGTGTGTTCATTAAGATCTGGCATTTCTTGATACGCTGCTAATTGGAAAAAATGTTATGTTATCAGAAACGACTAGAAATGGTAAGGAATAGGCAAAAGGAAAATGATTGGCCACAGGAAGCTTTCAAATACCAACATTTTCCCTTTTTTTGTTTCTTTTTTTTAATGATACATAAACGAATTGCAGATATTAAGAACAGCCCATACAGTCTTATACATGTACTCTGTATAAAATATGCAACATTTGCAAAGGATACATGATTTTGAATATTAGTACTGCCAGTTTTTAGAGGGAAGTAGAAAACTTAGGACGTTGAAATTTTAAGGATGTCTCCCCTGCAGAAATAATAATTCTCACCTGCAGATACGGACCTTATCCAGAACAATTCAACAACTAATACGATGATTTTAGAAAATGAGATTTTAGTAAGCTTAGCCATTTTGATAAACCCTTGTGCTTTCTTTGACTCGCCGGCCACTGGTTCACCTGGTATGGTCACTCACGCCACACACAGCTGACCCTTCTGCCTGGAGTAGTGGACAATAATGACCAGCATTACCTCGATCTGCAGTTTTAGAGGTCCACTTCCCAGTGTTTAAGGTAATTCTTGTTCCCATGGGGCTGACATACCTGTACAGTTCAATTGCATGCCACAGGTGTACATTTGTACTTGGTTCTCTCCCCAGAAGCTTAAAGCGATGTATCTCTATTTTCTTGTTTGTCTCCTAATTTCCTGATTGACATGAAGGTCAGAAGTTTTCCCTGAAGTACTTGGCACCGACTTGTATGTTGAAGGTATGACTATGTGTTGGTTTTCTCAGTACGTTCACACTGCTGCTCTATATACTCCCATGCCACATCTACACATCACGCATTGCTGAACACTCAGCTCTTTTTCAAGTGACGAAACATTAACGCGTCAGGTAAGTTTTCGTTTTGCGTTGATTTTTTTCTTTCTTTTTTTGTCTCGTATCTATTTTTGTGCAGAAAGTCGCTGCTCATCTTTTTACCTTCTGGCAAGTTTTCATTGTATACCTATACAAAGAAATGACTACATGTATACCTGCTAAAAGATTGATCTCCCCTTTAAGAATTTAAATAGACCCCAAATGCATTTAGCTCCCCAATGGTATTATGCAAGTGAAGATAGAGCGGTCTTAACATCCCTTTACATAAATCTATTACATTACATTCACCCATTAAGTGTTCTTCTGACTCGCGCATTAAAGGGGGGGGGGGGGGTAATATATACATATGTTAGTAGGCCTACTGGAAGATTGATGGAAATATTTAGAAAATAAGGTTATTTCGTAATTTTTGTAGTAAAGTTAAGGGACAGATATTGAGTGATAACCACTCTTGTCGTTCTAAAGAGGAATTGAGAGGGGTGATGCAATAAAATAGTTAAACGAAATTATATAACCCTTCTTTTGCTTCCCCTCTTTCTCTATCTCACGCACGCACACACCATGTTCCCATAAATAAAAAAAGACAAACATGCATTTTTTTAAAGTTTTATTGATGCACGGAGCGTGATAAAGCACGTCCTAGTCGCTTTTCATTTAACAGTTAGGCATACGGATGTTGCTTAAAACAAATTCTGCCACAAATACAAATTCATGTTGCTAATATCCTTACCAGTGTCCAATGTCTTTTAGCTCTAATAAGCATATAATAAGCATATAAATCTAAGCATACAATCAAAGAAAATCACTGCATGTGTACACATGTACTGTGTTTACAGTTTTGAACAGTTCTCTTGCTATACACGACTATTTTGAACGGTCAGACACATGCAGACCGTAGTTTTAACCCGAATAACACGATGCATAGGGCACACCAGTGTGAAGATGCCACATTGTGAAAACATAGTCATTGCAAAGCATAGCACCAAATACAATTTTATTGCACGTAAATATTGTCTTTGAATTTATGAACAAAACGGAGCTGATTAAAATGCAAGTTTTCCCCCCCAAGCTTGCTGTGTGGAATTGTGAGCCAAAGCGTGTTGGTCTTGCCTTATTACTTGGTATAAAATATTTTACGTACTTATAATTATAATATTAAATAATCATCAATAGTCCTCTATAGGTACTATGATATACCTTCAAAATGATGGACGATTCAGAAAACAATTGCTAATTCATCAGGAAGGTAGGTCATATATGTGCATTTCCAATTAATATCGTAAAACGAGCTATAATACTTTTCACAATGCCTAACGTGTAACTATTCATCAATTCTAGAGATTAGTGAAACTAACAAAAGACGAATGAAAACTTCTACACTATCAATCAAAAGACGAGTTCATTCGTAGATGAAGAAGAAATATGCCAATCCTCCCCTTTCCACTATGCGATCTGTATAATTCTCGTCCAGCGAGGATGTAAAAGTAATTTGAAGTTCAGAACATGAGAACAATAATTATGATAATCACAAAAAATGGGACTTCTCTTTAAAATCCAAATATTGCACGAATTGTTTTACACAGCATGGGCAATAATATGAATTGAATATGTCTGTGGAATGTTCTGCAGTGTAAAATCAATTGTAATTTTTTTATAAATTGGGACTAAACGAGTTATTGAAAAAGAAAATTCAGCAGGCCAACTTAGGCAAAATACATGCATTATAAAAACGTATCCCATAATTTCCCCCTCAGTCGTCTGGGATATACTTCATTACGTAACAAAATAACTAACCGATAATTAACAATTGATCAGGAAGACATAATCAATTAATGCAATTAGGCACTGATTTTCAACTTCTCGAGTCAGACGGTCACGTTTCCGCGCCGAACTTGGTACGACCTACACATGGTCATTTCCCGTCAAGTACTCATAGGTCGTCGACATTTATACATTTTTGTTTGTTTGTAGTGTAAAATAACAATTCCAATTGTCATTGTTGAGTCTTGAGCACAGCCAAGTAACTAACGAATTTGTAGATATCTCTCTGCTTTGGCGGTAGATGTTTGGATGTTCAGATGCCAACCTGGTCAATACTTTTTGAACTTGTTATGGTGCACAGAAAAAGACTCGGAATACGAAAACAAAACAATATCCTAGGATCTAAATCTATTTCTTATGGTGTAACTCGTCAAGAACGGATCGTAGTGAAATACTGCGGTTGTTCCTTCCAAACAAAATAAAGCGACAAAATCAAAATTAGTACAACCATCAGACCAACACAAATACAGACGTGTTTAGCTCGACAAACACAACTTCCTTCTCCAAAATCAGAGTTTATAGAAATAGACGCGTCTCTTCTTAAAATACCCCCAGTGCGACGCGCCTTCCGGGTTTTGCAGCACCCGCAAAAACGTTCTTTTAGTGTGACGTCAGAAACAGATAACGACAAAACCTCGTCATCAGTGTCACCGATAGGGGGCGCAGTTGGTATTAAGGCCTGCCTTGCAATGTCATCTTCAATTACTTTTGTGCTTGTTGTTTGTCTTTTTTCGTCGTATTCGGTGACAACATTGAAGTGTGCCACACGAGCGAGTGACGACTGCTCACTTGTAGATTTATTGAGACGGGAAGGTATAAAAGTTGGCGTCAAAAAATTCCCTTGCGTCTCAGTGCATCGGTGACATGCTTTTGAGCTTGTGCATTCGTTTTCATCGTGGTAAATGACGTCACTATAACTCGGCGGGAGCGACCAACATGGAGACGGAGAGTCCCCCGGCGTCAACCCCCGCCACTGCAGCTCTTCCCGCTCTGCAGATTTCGGTGTCGTCTGCTGCAGACTGGAAAGGCAAGCATTTGGTGGTTCTTCCACCTCCACTGTGATGATGTTGATAGTGGGAAGGGGAAGGGATAACCGGTTATTGGTCTGCGGCCCCTCCGGCTCCTGAAAAAAAATATCATCATCATCTTCATTATCATTATTGTCATCTTCATGACACGAAACACGTTGTAATACAAGATCACTAATTTGAATTATTTCACAAATCGAATGCAAAAGAGAGGATAAGTGGTAAGAAGGATAACTAGTACACGTAAGAAGACAGTAAATCTATAGGCGTCTCTTTTGTTCATCTGTGGTTTTGCCAATTTTTCATCGCCCTTGATATTTACTGTACACTTGCCCTGTTCCATCATAGGGATACAGCCACTAATGACAAAATGACTGTTGTAATAAAAAGCTCAATTACAGCCAATTCCCTAAAGAACAGCTAGGCAGGATTCAATAAAATTCTGATTTGCAAACATCAAAGTCAATTTAATATTCCACCTCATCTCCTCGCCAGGCTTTAATAAAAAACTGATTTGTGAACATGGACAAGCTAGGACGTCGGCTATGAATGATCATGAACCTAATAGAATATATCTAAATATCACCATAAACAGATGCAATAATCACGGAAAAGATACATTGGTCGTCAGAATCATCATTTCCGTAATTGAAAACGGAATTATTATTGAGCCGAAAGCGAAAAAATGAAAGGTTGATTTGATAATTGGACTCATTGCAGCGAGTTTTTTCGTAACACCGATTATTTGAATGCAAAAATTACGATAGAAAAGTACATTTTATTTTCTTTTTTCGGTATGTAGATGCTGTTTCATCAGTCAGGTTTAATCAGCTTTTTTTTTCTCTTCCAATTTGACGGAATTAATTTTATGTTCCACTGATTTTTTTGGAAGTTTTACAATATAATATTCATGGGACACGCAGTAGTGGTACATGTATTCTAAAACCATAAGAATATCCTACAGACCTCCCAAGATCTCAGATGATTTTTGCACTTGACTAAACTCAATATTTCTCATGATAATGAGCTTTCAAAAAATGATAAAATATGCTTGTAAGTGTTTCGTAATCAGAGATACTTGAAGACAATAATTGAGAAATTGTAACCTGATCATCAGTTTAATCTAATAAGCCACAATAACTACCCTTCACACACTGTACAATCTGTATGCATGTACTGAGGGGCAGGCGTATATTTTCTTGGCCATTATCTTCTTAGTGTGCTTTGGGTCTCATTTGGCAGAGCAGAAGAGATACTTGCCAAAATTATCAAAACAGTAATTGGGCGCCTCTCTCTTTTTTTTCTATTATCAACCCAAACCGTCCAGAGCCATGTAAATCTGCATTAGTAAGCAAGCCCCATTTGGAGTCGATGTACCGCAAAAAGCGGCTTTCAGTCAATACGAAGATCATTATACAAAATAGGAACATCTGTTATTTTTGTATTATAACCTCTGCAGACTTAATAAACAAACAAGGCGGCTTTTTAATGTAAAGAAAACCAGTGCACAAAAGCATCATAAAGGCGTTATTTGCAATTGGACGGTTACCTATAAGGATACAAACACGCACAATCTGCTTGGTATAGCGGATTCACACAAGAATTGAGTAACTAATAAAAAAATCGATGGGAAATGACTGCCTTCAATTGAGCAGTTTTTTTCCACGTAGCTCAGTGTCGTAATATTATCTCTAGCCATATCCTCTTGAGCTGTTTTGATAAAATGTTTTTCTACAGTTAAGATTAAATCGATGCATAACAAAAGCTTTTGTATTACAATATCTAGACAGAAATGTATAGAATTACCACGCATTAATCACTCGACATCAACGATGATAAAAAAACGTCTCCCTCTCTCTCCCTCTCTCTCTCTCATACACACACACACACACACACACACACACAGAGAGAGAGAGAGAGAGAGAGAGAGAGAGAGAGAGAGAGTTTTCACTAACAGGAACTAAGCATGAGCATCTTACCCTAGACATATTATGGATGGATCGTAATGCACAAATGTCGTGTTGACAAAGGTATAGAGCAGTGGATTTGACAATTTATTCTAAGATTTGACTCACGCCTCATTTCATTATACACACCATCATAAGAAGCATTATGGATTTCCAAAACTCCTTATTCCCTGCTAATTGGTATCCAATTGCTTGATTAAAACAGTCCTGAATTGATCGCTTATTAAGAATTTATCAGTATTTGCGATAAAGTAGCCCATTTCCGCCCGGCCACGATAAAGGTGAATAAATACAGGTGAGATTAATAATCAATAGAGTCTTTTCTACCATGAAAGTCAGTCACGCGCGTAAGTGGACAGGAATTGACTTTATCACGAACCTTTAACCTTTTTTTCTCATTGATGCATCCACACACTTCATTCTTATGTTATTTCACTTGCTATTCTGTTGTGCACAGTCTTACTTTGAAATAAATTGTACATCTTCCCGTGTCCCACATTAATAAACCCATTCAGGTTATCAAACAGAAGGCGAGGAATTCTACTATATATCAGAGTTGTAAGATTTCGAGTTACAGAGAGCTGAAATGTATTTAACTGATAGCGCGGCCTTGGGTGGTTGGGATTAGGATTAGGATGTCAAATGTATACATATATATGTAAACTAATGCTTGTCCCCTTTTATTCTTTCTTTAAAATAAACTCACGCTTTGAAACTACTATCTCAATTTTAATGAACATCCTGGTATTTTCTGTGTAGCCAGGAAAACAGGAATACGATAAATTCAGGTCGTGAGATTGCACGAATTTAACATACGGGCACTGTCACTTAAAAAAAGGCCCTAAAAGCAAATCCCACAGCTTTTATGCAGGCAGAGGATTAAAAAAAACTAACAGCATACATTGATATTTATGAAAGCTTTATACGGCAAAGCGAATTATTCGTTAGCGATGACGGATTTAGATTGATAAGTGATATTGTTTTACAAACTGGGAAGTAAGCTTTTGCATTGAAAAGAATGTCATTTACTGAGTGATCACCAGGGTTTTTCGGAAGAGCAAAATGGTTGATGTTACTCCCTATATTATGCATGCATGCACCGTAACGTTACAACGGCACCGAATCTGTTTAGTACGTGTAATTTAAAAACAAAAACAAAAATAATTATACCTGATAACAAAATCGAAGACCGCCGTAGGATCACCGTAACTGGTGAATAAAAAAACGGGATGCTCATACTAAAGACTAAATGAGAAGGAAATAAAATAACGATCTCTCAGATCCAGTTTATTTTGATTTGTTTCAAAAACAAACTTCTCGACAGATCGAAACATTCGAGAGTAGCCGCTAAATAAATATCTAAAAATAGTTTACAGATACGAGACTGCGTCATATCCTTCCAACTGCGAGCCTTAGAGAGAAAAGGGTGACAAAAATAAATGGCACACCTCAAACAGATTGATATTTATGAAAAGAGACACCAGTGGACTCGGGTTTGTCTATCTTGAGAATACAATAGTGACTTCGATAACAGAGAAAATTGGTATTGTTTGTTTTGGATATGAAACATTTCAATCCCTTTCAAAAATTTCAAAACAGGAATCGGATGGCTCCTTGAAAAAATCTATGGGTCAATAATATGACAGATTCAACGTACAGGTAATTGAGGCCCCTCAGTTTTTTTGACATTACCAGTCTCTATCACTGATATACCTACTTATTGTTACTGCCTGCGTATCACTTACTGAATATACATATTGCACTATATCCTAAGTGTTTTTTCCCTTCCTCTTTCATATTTTTTTCAAACCTAGGTAAGCCAATTAATACATGTTATTGTTGCCACTGGGAAATTGCAAGTGTTATATTTCATCAATACAAAATATTTGCCAAGTGTCAGAACCAATTTTCAATGGCCTTTTATTCCTATGTCAATTAATTAGAGTATCAGCTATATATTTAGCCTCTAAAGAGAGAGAGAGAGAGAGAGAGAGAGAGAGAGAGAGAGAGAGAGATGAACCTTCTCTACAAATCCCTCGTAGAAAAAATGAACCTGAACCCTTCATGCCACCATTGCCCCCATTTCTAAGAACAAAACACCAGCATCGACAGAATCTTTTATCAATTTCAATTTCAGAACTCGATCTTTTACACAAAGACGCAGCGGGTTTTTGCTTCTAGATAACAAAGCCACGATAATCGAATCATGCATAAGTTCATTACGGTAAGCGTACGCAGTATCGGGAATTGGTGTCAAGTTTCATCACTGGCTTCACTTCGTATTTCAAAGGATACACGGATAAGGGATGGACAAAATATGTCGCATGTTTTTAAGTATTTAAACCGATGCAGATGACTGAAAATAGTGAAGAAGTCTTTTCCTGAGAGCTCCCGCTCACTGGAAAACAACATGCATCAAATTACATCATAAATTATGGGATGGGTTATGGTCGAAAACTCTTCGAAAAAAGCTTTAACAAATTTCCATTAACTTGGCAGATGACAATCACCGCCAGTACTCTGAAACTCAGGGTTACGGAGAACATCTGCTGGATAGCCATAAAATTACTGTCAGCACACTGAACACCAGGCACGATTTGCCTACTCAAATCTGAGTAATATATTATATAATACCCTGCAACCATGGGCGTCCGCAGAAAATTTTCCAGGGGGG